ACCCACCCAACACCGTTGGTGACCCACGCCCGCGATATTTGATGAACTTTAGACTCCGCTAATGCTTTCGTTTCCCCGGGTGTAAATAGCCGGGGGAAATTAGTACCCTCGCACGGCGCTTCGCGCCGTCGGCTCGGGGATGAATATTCCTAGCACGAAAAGCTTGCTATTTGATCTCCAGATTTAGATATTGCGAGGAAAGCTTGGAAGAAGCTATATATTCTATATGAACATATAATAATTAAAAATACTTAAAAGGGAAGAGGCTCAACGGCAGCCTGTGTAACCGTGTTTCAGTGCTTTCGATGGACACTACCATCATACTGCTTTACAACAATCTGCTATGATTGGTTCGTCTACATTACTATGTCTAGTTTTTATTGGTTCTTACATGTTCGACCATGCGAACTGAATGCCAGATTTGAACTTGAAACACCAGTATATCAAAAATTCAATTACCAATCCTTCCACAAAGAAGCTGTAATTGTAAGCCTTCTACACTAAATTCATGGGAAGAAAGCACCCTATTTCTATCTATCTATCTATCTATCTATCTATCTATCTATCTATCTATCTATCTATCTATCTATCTATCTATCTATCTATCTATCTATCTATCTATCTATCTATCTATCTATCTATCTATCTATCTATCTATCTATCTATCTATCTATCTGTCTATCTATCTATCTATCTATCTATCTATCTATCTATCTATCTATCTATCTATCTATCTATCTGTCTATCTATCTATCTATCTATCTATCTATCTATCTATCTATCTATCTATCTATCTATCTATCTATCTATCTATCTATCTATCTATCTATATATATATATATATATATAGACGGTACCGTTTACTACAGACGGTACCGTTTCGGCCTTATGGGCCTCATCAGTGTAGTGCTGATGAGCAGGATGAAAGTAACTGCTATTTACAGTTACCTTTGATGCCTCACGATGCAGCTCTATATATATATATATATATATATATATATATATATATATATATATATATATATATATATATATATATATATATATATATATATATATTGAAATATTGCTGACAACAAGATACAAGTGTTGTATATACAAAAGGTTTCAATGTGAATAGTGTAGGGAAGAGAGGTTCTGGCGTGGGTGGTGCACTTAGCACCACTCATGACGTTTTCAGGATATCATTTCATACCAATTACACGGTGCTTATAATGTATTTAACCGAGTGTAAACCAATGATTACTAGCATTTTAAGAAAGTTTTTACAGTTTAATACTTTGCTAATGATTTTTGTGAAGTTACTCTGAGTGTGCATCCACACCGGGCAAGCTGAAAAGTTAGCCTGGCCACGGTGGGAATCGAACCCGTGACCTTTGGGATACTAGCAGGGCCGTCCTCAGGGAATTCTTTAGGGGGGGAGGGGGTGCAAGGTCATTTCAACCGACTGACGAACAGGGTCGCCGAGAGGTTGACGGGAGCCCGGGCGAGAAAATATTTTTCGGAGACCAACAACCTCCCCCCCCCCGCCCCCGTCGACAACTTTTTAGGGAAAAATTTTCCGGACGAGTACGTTGCAAATGCTTTTCAATGACTTTACCTCAATTTTTCATACCAAAATTCGGAAATTTACCTCAAAAACCCCAAATATCTTGCCCTTTGTGCGGAAATATTTAACCCAAATAGCAGTCCTACCGACTGAATGGCAGACCCCCCACACCGCACACTCCCCTATCTCCGGCCCTGGATACTAGTCCAATTATGTTCTGCCAACTGAGCTACGCGGTCAAGTCGGTTCGAGTTGATGATATTTCGGAACTGAGTCTAGTTCCTTCGATATCAGTGCATTGTATGATATGTGATTATTTTGTGTGTGTTGGTGTTATGTACTCAGGTGAATATGATGTTTGTAAATAAGAATGCACTGATATCGAAGGAACTAGACTCAGTTCCGAAATATCATCGACTTGACCGCGTAGCTCAGTTGGTAGAGCATAATTGGACTAGTATCCCAAAGGTCTCGGGTTCGATTCCCACCGTGGCCAGGCTAACTTTTCAGCTTGTCCGGTGTGGATGAACACTCAGAGTAACTTCACAAACATCATATTCACCTGAGTACATAACACCAACACACACAAAATAATTTGCTAATATTTATCCCCCGACATATATTCCTTCTAACAAACTGAATTAATTTTTCAATTTGAATACATACTCCATATATATTCTACTACTATAGGCCTATTTCGATTTTGTCGACTATTGCGAACATTTTAGAAAAAAATGTTTACAATCAGTTAATTTCGTATATAAATGAGAACAACATTCTGTCAGGTAACCAATTTGGATTTCGAAAATCTCATTCGACTGTAACGTCCTTGTTAAATGCTACAAATAATTGGCTCCTAAATATTGTTAAAGGCCTTATAAATGGAGTCTTGTTCCATGATCTACGGAAAGCATTTGACACTGTTGATCATATAATCCTATTTGAAAAGCTAAAACTGTATGGAATCACAGGGGGTGCCTTAAATTGGTTTATATCAAACATGTAAAATAAATAACGTGGAATCATCCGGAAAATTAATTAAATGAGGTGTTCCCCAGGGGTCAAATTTAGAACCCCTTCTATTCTTATTATATGTCATTGACCTGCCAAATTGTCTTGATCAGGCAAAAGAACGTAACGTAGATATTGTACTTATACGCATGCGCAGTGAGATGTGTGTATTACGAAAACTCCTGACGTATAGGAGTTTGCAAAGATTCCGGGGCAATTCTGCAGGGGTTCTCTTGGAGTTCCCTTGAGTTCTCGCATAAAAATGCGAAAAACAGTAGTTTGTTTCTAGCCGATAGCCCAGTTCATTCAAAATTCCCCCAAATCATAAACGACAATAGAAATAGAGTATAAAAGGTGTATTTGAATACATTGTATTACAAGGTTTTATTAGATTATCTTAGAGTGTCCAACACTATCTTTGGTTTTCCCTGGGATATATTCACCATGTTTGGGGCTATTAAACAAGGAATAATAAAAATCCAGACATATGTTAAAAATTTTAAACAGAACTAAGCAGTTGCTAAGCCCAAGTTAGAATGGTTGTCAACGCCGTTGTTATCGTCGAATTTGCATATTACAGAGTCATTAAACAAATTATTAATCCACCGGTCCCGTATAGATATATACAATTATTTTTTTTATTTCACCCAGCGAGCTTGAGACAGAAAAAATACTAACGAAATATGCTATATCGAATTTTTGTCCTTTGTGGGTTTCTAAAACGTATACCGCCAAAGTCATTACCAGTCATTAATGGATTACAAGCAATGGTTTAATCTCTTAAGTGCTTAATATTAAGGATAGATAGGGATTATATTTATTACGCGGGCATGGACCTTAAAATCGGGCTCGTGGTTTTGAGGGCAAAAATTTCAACAAAAATTTAATTTTAAAATACATGCATTTATTTCTTTACGTGTTTACAAAGTTAATAAGGTCTACTTCTAAGAGCATATCGTTTAGGTGTCTTTTATATTTAAAGAGTTCTTGTATATTCTTGTCTATCTTCAGACGATAACTTTGAAATTTTCTCCGGCTTCATCGGAATATATTTTGGTCGGTCGTACATCTGCAGGTACGAGTAAAGCTCTCGGCATGTTGATGTGTTCAGTTCAACTTTACACAGGTTATATTACACAAAGCCCAGCTAATACGCAGGAGCCTAGCTTACAATATCTAGTCCAGCTCGGATCCAAGTCTAAGTAGCTCGGATCCAAGTCTAAGTAGCTCGGAGCCAAGTATAACTAGCTCGGAGCTTAGCTTGAAATATCCAGCCTAGCTCGGAGCCTAGTCATATAGTCATATAGTCATAATAGTCATGACTATTGTTTTAATGGTCATGACTATAGTCTTAATAGTCATGACTATAGTCTTAATAGTTATGACTATAGTCTTAATGGCCATGACAGTAGTTTAAATAGTCATGACTATAGTCTTAATAGGCGTGCATAATACCTATTTACAATAAAACGCCTAATAAATAATTACCCTATACAACTTAACTTATAAATATAACACATATTTTAAGTAGTTATAAGGTTTCTATAACTGCTATCTTAAAGTCCTTCCATATTACAATGTTTCCCATTTCATCAGGCAAGGCATTACACTCCTTGCTTGCTACATGAATTGTAGATTTAAGTCCATAATGTGTGGTATTAACCCTAGGCAACACTAACTTGTTAGTGCCTCTTAAATTCTTAATGTTGTCCCTCAGTTTGAACATGTTCGTAATTTACGAAGGTAATTGATTATTCAATGCCTTAAATACAATATTTAAAATTTCGTTTTTGCGTCGGTCATCTAGCGTACCCCCATTACTGCGGGCTAAATCTTGGTAATCTGTGCCAAAATCATCGTAAATATATCTCAACGCTCTTTCGTTCAGTTTTTCCAATTCGTTGATATCGGCTTTTGAACAATTTTACCATACAGAAGAACATTAACTGAAGTGCGGAATGATGAAGGATTTACACAGGCACATGCACCTTTGTAGAGCGTGAGAGAATATTCTTAAATTGACTTAAGACATCTAATTGTTTTTCCACCTTTTTGGCAACCTTTGAAATATGATTTGAGAAATATAAGAATTAATTTCTCAACCACAGTTCCCAAAAGTTCAGGACTGTCAACCTTATAGATGTTATTTTTTCCGTCTATTGCAAACACAAATCATAATTTATGATTGGATATTAAGGGCCTAAAACAATATTTCTAAATAGTCATTGATTTCGGAAGTGTTCATTGGCCATGTGGATAATCTTGTTTTGAAAACATAAAAACAAGTTCATCAACGCCAATTAGCCTAATATGAAAATGAATTTGCAAAAACGTAAAATTTTAAACGAAAGACAGCCATTTCCGAGCGGGGTTAATAGTTTCTGTAATTCGATCTAATCCAAAACGAAAATAACATAGAAAATGGTAAAATAACAAGGAAATGGTAAATAATTTACAATTCAAGCATGCAGAACAAGGCTAGGAATCTGTTGAAAACTGGCGAAAATAATCTATATATAGAACGAGTATAAAACATGTTACACTTTTGTAGTATTAAGTATTAAAACGCATTTATAAGTATTGAAAATAAAACGTTTTATTGATTAAATTTGCAAATGTGAAGTATAAACATCCACTGAGATTCCACAGGAAAATGAATAGCGATGTCGCTGAACATTCATTGTGTGGATTCATCGGTTTTGTTCTGCTTTACTTTGATTTGTTTCGTTTGTAACAGAGTAAGGCTTAAATTTTAACTTTAATGTGCTTTTAAATATGCTTCAGTCACGTAATATTGTTTCAGGGCCTTTAAACCTCTCTTTACGTTAAATGTCTATACCACTGATCTGAAATAAGACTGGATAAAGCAAGTTTATACATGCCCATAGCATTATAAACTTAAGTTAATGAAACAAGCGTTAGGACAAGAGTAAAGTTGTGCAAAGTCTCCTGGAGTACAAAGGTCTGGTACAAAGGTCAATCTGTGAATCGTGTGATCATACACGTGCAAAGCGCAAGGCTGAATTAACAACAAACCTGTAACAACCTGTTGTATTGTAAACAACGAAACGTTAGCTAATTAAAATTTTACTTTTATTATGTTTGGTTTTAAAGTTATTTGCTGGGCTCTGCTCTTTATCTTTAAACTAACAACAAACCATTGTCAAATCTCTTCCCATGCGTGCGGGAAAATAGACCAATCAGGTTTCACTTCTTTGTCTGCATAGTTTCCTGCTTGGATCAGTAAACCTCATTGTGTCACTTGCAAGCAAAATTGTATGACCTCTGTGGCAAAGTACTTCAAAATTATACTTTTGGAAAGATATTTCGTGGATATAGAACAACGGTCAGTAACACAGTATTATTCAGTGAGACGCAGTTTATTGAAATATAGCTCTGCGCCTCTGCCGCGGGCAAGCGCTTTTACTCTTCTGGTGCATGGACAAAGGAATACGTTGGCTCAAGTATTGATGTATAATTCAGTGAGACGCAGTTTATCAGTCAAATATAACTCTGCCGCGAGCAACCGCTTTTACTCTTCTGGTGGACAAAGGAATACATTGGCTCATGTATTGATGTATGATTCAGTGAGACGATGTTTATTGAAATATAACTCTGCCGCGGGCAAGCGCTTTTACTCTTCTGGTGGACAAAGGAATACCTTGGCTCAAGTATCGATGTGTGATTCAGTGAGACGCAGTCTATTCAAGTATAACTCTACCGTGGTCAAGCGCTTTTACCTTTCTGGTGGACAAAGGAATACGTTGGCTCAACCGATGAAGTTAAATGAAGCCGCCGCTGGGGGAATTATAACAAGATCGAGAGGCTAAACACGAATTCAACAAGCGTCAGTTGATATCATTCGTATATTGAATTGAATTGAATTGATTTAATTTAATGACTACTGACTTTGTAACCCAAAAAGGTTAAATTACACCAGTATTACATAAATTAAGAGGATAAGTTAAAATTACCTAATAATTACATATTTGAGATTATTTACATTTCTAAAAACTTATTTAATGTTAATCTTTAATATACTTTGAGGTAAAAACGAATTCTTAAAACGTTCGGTTCTGCAAACATAATTATGATATTTACATATCGGTCTTAGATCATATCCAGATAAAACTGTTTGTGGTAAAAGATCTTTGAGATTTTCATTGACAATATTCTTCTCAAAGAAATGTTCGCATAATTTTTCTCGGCGATCTCTCAGTGACGTGATGTTAGTCGTGATCAGCATAGTTAAAAAAAAAATTCTATTTTCATATAACATGATTTTAATCAATTAATTATTTAAAGTTTGCTGAAAGAGAAATATAGACGATATGTACGTCTTCGAAAAGCACAAAGATCATCTGTCTTCTGTACGATTACAGTTGTGGTGGGAGTTGAGTTTTTTCGTCTATGGGGAATTCACATGCTGTGTATTTGTGGGGATGGAGTGCTCCCAAAGGTCACCCTCAACCCCATAGGCTCACACAAATCAATGTATTATAGTACAGTGTATTGTAAAGTAAACAATGACCATCACGGGGATCTATTACCCCTTGGCCATTAAAGTAAACAATGACCATCACGGGGATCTACTATCCCTTGGACATTAAAGTAAACAATGACCATCACGGGGATCTACTACCCCTTGGACATTTAAGATGCCCATCTCGGGGATCTACTACCCCTTGGGTAAAGTCCAACATGGGGGAACACAACCCCCTGAGGAGATATAATTATATGATTTATATCATAATCATATTGCTGTAATAGTGAGTCTGTGGGGCGACACTTTGCCCACAGTTTAAAGTATAATCGGAGCATTTCTCCTCGACAACCCTTCTCCCACAACATTGTGTGTATCATAGTTGTTTTCTTAATTGTCCTAGAATATTTGCTTAACGAATTGGTGCATTAACGCATCTATAACAAGCAAAAGTGAAGCCGGAAGTCACCAGCCGCCACCCGATTCTGGGGGCCCACTTTTGTATAGATTTGTAGTACAGTATGATAGTTTTTCGCGTTTTTTTGCCAGTTTTGCAATCACAAAGACAGAAGCACACAAGAAGAATTTTGAGCAAAAACTTTGGAGTATTATGACTTCATAACGCCGCGAAACGGGATTTGCAACTTTGAAGGAGTGGAGAGCCTTAGACTTTGTTTATCAACACGAGCTCGTTTTGCTACTTTCATACAAGAATTACTGTTACTGGACGAATATTTTTATATATTAGCTTCGTGCTTTTTGTAATTGATACAACACACAACAAATATTGTACAATTATACAATATTATTATAGTTATACTCTTCAATTCCATATCTTAATAGTTCCTACACTATTACTTATACCACAGATCTGTAGCACAGAGAAGAGATATACAGACAGAAAACTGAAACTCGATAAACTCAATTTTTGTGTCACGCGTTCCACGCGTTTTCAAATTTCACGCGTTTTCAAAAGTTTTTCAATTTTTTTAAAAAAATAGTTTTTAAAAAAGTTTTAAAAAGTTTTAAAAGAGTTTTCAAAAGCAAGAAAAGTTTAAAAAGTTAGATTTTTAAAAAAATTTAAAAAATTTAAAAAGTTAAAAAAATTAGGGTTAGGGGTTAGTGGTTAGGGTTGGGGTTAAGGTTAGTTTTAGGTGCCGCGAATTTATTATTATGATAAATTCAAAATTTGCCGCGAGTTTACCATAATGATAAATTCGGACGTGTTTAAGAATTTACTCATATAGTAAATTCAAAGGTGGAGCTCATGCTGCTATGCTTATAGTGGAATTTAAAAAATTACAAAATTTAGAAAAATGCAAGTACACTATAAAATCAAAACAGAGACTTGGTAGTATTTAAAACACGAGGAGTGTTTTATTATATTTAAAACGCGAGGCGCAGCCGAGCGTTTTAGATATGATAAAACGTGAGTTCGAGTGTTTTGAATAGCTTAAAATACGACTACGAAAGAATACTAATTAGGATGAACAATTATATAATCATACTAATTAGGATGAACAATTATATAAAGAATACTAATGAAGATGAATTTTATCAGATACAAAGTCACTCACGTGACATATTATGGCTGACATGATTTGCCACAAGATTTATGAATTATTAATGAATTTTTTAAAGATACATATATAAAGTATTAAATTGTAATGCTGTATATATAAATCTTAAACTTGCAATGTTTCTTTGTTTCAATTTCTATCAAGTGCTTCGTATCATGCAGAACTATTGTATACCTATAGAAAACAAAACATATATCAAATCATTGGTTCACCATACATTCACAACCTGGTCAAATGTATTGTGTGATGTTATTTTATTAAAGCACAAAGAAGCTACACAAGACGTCTGTGGAATTATTATAAGAAAAAAGGAATGCTCTTGGCAAAATTGACATTTAAAACTGTTCCTTAATTCATATAATTATAAAAGTAGCCTCAAGGTATATTTTAAAACTAACCTCATTTTGTTCACAATGTAGCTGCTTTTGTTCACAATGTACGAGCTCCTGTTGATAAACAAAGTCTGAGGCTCTCGATCCACTCCTTCAAAGTTGTAAATCCCGTTTCGCGGCGTTATAAAGTCATAATACTCCAACGTTTTTGCTCAAAATTCTTCTTGTACGCTTTTGTCTTTCTGATTGTAAAACTGGCCAGGTCAGAAACGTATCCAAGGCAAAAAACGCGAAAAACTACCATATTGTAATACAAATCTATACAAAAGTGGACCCCAAAATCGGGTGGCGGCTGGCGACTTCCAGCTTCACTTTTGCTTACTATAGATGCGTTATCCAGTCTTATTTCAGATCAGTGATCTATACCAGTATGTCAAAAACTTTGCCTGTCATTTGACCATTTGCGTAATAGACTAAATTTTGATCTAAACGAGTCTAGACAAACATTTCATCACAGCTTGAAAGAGCATCACACAATTAGTAATATTCCAAAGTTTCGTTGCGAAATGTTGTAAAATGCGGATATTCGCATTTTACAACATTTCGCAACGAAACTTTGGAATATTACTGATTTTGTGATGCTCTTTCAAGCTGTGATGAAATTTTTGTCTAGATCAAAATTTAGTCTATTACGCAAGTGGTCAATTAATATTCCGTTCACGTCTTCGCGTCAGCCTGTCACATCTACGCATGCTCAATCACAATTTCCAGTCGCAATTTCCGATGGTGTAAGCTGTTGTACAAATTAATTAGCTACTAAGGCCTAGAATAATTTCAGTATCAAACAATATATATTATTATTATTATAACCTATTTTCGAAGACTCTGGCGCATATCATCTTTTCCTCTAGCTTTGAATTTAGAAGTTGCATCGAAAATCAACGAAGAACTTCGAACTGCTTTGGATCCAAAGGAACTGGAGTCGTTTGCTCGACAGATTGCTTGTGGGATGGTAAGTTTTTAATGTTTCTTCATGTGTAAAATCCATTTAAGCTGCCATACAATTTGTTTTAAACGTTCCCATATTTACATTCATCGTCGAGACTATTCAGGTTGCAATATGATCGATACTATTGTCACAGCTAAAATGCATTTTAAATCATGGTTTCCGTTTTAAATGCTCATGATTAAAATTACATGTGTATTATATTTGATTTGGAAATTTATTTTAATATTGGATTAATTTTTATTACGTATATAATATCATAAATTTATTTGCATGGCTATACATGTCAAACTTATCAAACTTTCTTATTTCAAAACACGAAGCTTGAATATGAAAGAAAGATAAGGAACGATGTTTTAAATTAATTTTCTACAGTAATTTGCAAACATTCATTTTTGTATAACATTTTTGAATGTCGTCAACGTGTTTGTTTCTAAACATGTCTTGTGAAATTCGCTCTAAAAATGTATGCATGAGGATGACTCCGAAATGAAAATAATTTTTAGAGACCTTTTCATGTAGATATTGCCCACAATTATAGGATAATTTTAACGAAATGTCTATTTTAAATGAAGGAACACATTGCTAGTGTTGGTATCGTTCATCGTGATTTGGCAGCAAGAAATATACTACTTGACGAAAACAAAGTATTAAAAATATCTGATTTTGGCTTGTCACGTGAAGGAACGTACATTAAGCGAACTCGCGGAAAGATTCCATTCCGCTGGTTATCAATTGAAGCTATGGTAGAAAGATTTTACTCATCCGCCAGTGACGTGTAAGTATTGCTAATGTGTTCAGGTGTTAGGAATTAATGACACATGCAGTATAGCTTCGGCTGATTACAGTGTATGTGTACAGTAAATATAATACTCTGTCCTTGTTTGAATCATATGACAATTATTCTGTCTTCTGTTATTGGTAGATGGGCGTTTGGAATTGTACTAATGGAAATTTGTACATTAGGTATGTAAATTATCATAAACTTTCTCAACTGCTTCAAGTATAGTTTTTTCTATCCACAAACACATTCTTTATCTGTTCGTTCTTAAGCCCAGATCAAACGAGGGTAATAGCGCATGAGAGTTGGCAGTCATGCGACCCATGAATAGCTGCATTTGATGCTTTCCCATGGCAACACTACAATGTATTAAGTTAAAACGCTCATCAAAAGCTTATGTTCATCTAGAGCGTGAAATTATTCCCCGTAACAATGCGTGACTGCCAACTCCTATCAACGCTCATTCTTGTTTGACGGGGGCCGTTTAATCCCCGAGCACGCGCCAAGCACCTAGCGCAAGGGTAGCAATTGCAATGCACTTGACTTAATGCACCCATCAGTTGACCGCGGTATGAGGTTACAGAGTTGTAAAACCTCATCAAATTCCCTATAGGAAAAATTTAAAGTTTTCAAACCTTCCGCAAAATAAATTGAATAAATACTAAGATATATATGGCTTCCTCAAATAGCAATATACTAGAGTATATAAACTTAACTGATTGTGAAAGCATAACATTCAAAAGAGATGTGTCGTTAAATGCAGTACATGATTCTAATATATAATTTGCCGTAATGGATTTTTACTTTGGACAAATTGGACAGTCCTTATCTACTTCGTGTACATCCTATATATGATATGTTGAATACAAAAGAATATAAAAATATAAAGTCATGAACTCAAAATAATCTTTAAAATGTGATGGTTTATGAATCTGTTGTAAAAAGCACAGCGGTACACACGTAAAAATGGAGAAAATCAGCAACTTGTTCCCAGTTGATATTGACAGGCATGAACAAGTTGTCAACAAAACTTGCAACAACATTGTTGACAACTTGTTCATAGTAGGCAACACAACCTTCCTGTCGATATATCAACCGAACTTGATTTTACGCCTGTACACATATTATATAGAGGTCAGCAGTAAAACCATGGCAGCAACATTCCAGGAGTGGTATTTGACGTTTCTGTGCTTGTGGTTTTGAAAGACATTTGAGAATATTTAGGTCTTTAGAAGTGTGACCCAATCGCCCAATTTCACAATCAATGAGGCAACGACTGCTCTCACTTGTTTCCAAAACAAAGTGCTAAATTTAAACCAAGCAGTATAGTTCCGGGCGTAAGCCCCGGGCGAGGGTACTAATTCCACCCGGCTATTTACACCCGAAAGGATTATGGAAACGAAAGCATTAGCGAAGTCTAAAGTTCATCAGTGATCGCGGGCCTGGGTCACCAACAAAGTTTCGGTGGGTGGTCATCCTCTCTGATCTCAAACATATGGCGGACTGTCATGAATAGCGGACACTGATTGGTCAAATTTAAAGTTTGCATTATAACGACTGCATGACGACAGCGAAATAGCAAATATTTCTTGATTTGATGATTGATGAATGATGATTTGTTGCAAATATATTTCATTTTTGCAAGATTTTGTGAATTGCAAAAGCTTTTTAATTAAAAAATAAAGGCGAAAGAATTACTAAAAGAAGCGAGTAAAGGCACCGACGTTAACGAAGGTAAGTTTGTTTTAAATATTGATGTATTGTTTGTTCGCTTTATAACGGCTTTGAAGCTGATCGTTGCGTATATCTTAAATGAAAAAGGCAGCACATAATTTCAGTGTTTCTTCATTGATTAACTTTTTCTATTATGTTAAAAAAGAAGGCAAAGTTGTTTGAATGCGAGAATTTGAAATCATTTTATTTCAAACTCAAAGTTTGTCGATAACGCCTTTAAAGGCATGCAGTTTAGTTTTATAAAGAACATTTTAAAACGTCTTGCGAAGCGTTTGAGGTTGAATTTTACCTTAAATTGAAACTTATATAAACATACTTAGCCTATCATATATATATATATATATATATGTTTGGGGAATTGAATTTTTCATTTGTAAAAATATTCTAAACAAAATTATCTTCTTACCATGACAACTACTTTAAATACATGATGATCGGAAAATACAATGGTTTTGTCAAGAAGGCGAGGGGTTTCTGCATGCATGTATTTTCTAGTAATAATAAGTATAGAATATAGAATATAGATATAAGAATATAGGCAAGAAATTATAACTTTAACATGTACATGGAGTTAAAGTATTAATTCTACGACATTTAACACAAATAAGTTTATACGTTCGAATGTTATCCTGATCAAAGACCATTCTTAATCGTTTAAAGTAAAAGTTCCGAAGTTTCTGTTTTAAAGTTATAAGAGTCATAGAAGATTAATATCGTCTGGTATGGCATTCCACATGCTTACAATCCTGACAAAGAAAGTGTCCCTGAATGTTGATGTTCTCGGTATTAAATTGTTTCTCACGTATAACCCAGAATGCGCTCTTCTGGTGCGACCCGTACAAAAAGACAAATAATTGTCTAGATTGACATTAATTAACTAAATTAGCCTTACATTTATAGAATAAAACAAGATCTAAATATTCCAGCCAATAGTTAATTGGCAATATGTTCAAAGAGACAAGACGATCCTTATAACTAATATTGGGTTGAACAGGTTCTATCTGCGTTATGTTGCGGATGACATGCAAACCGGGGTGCCCACATCTAACTATAGTATTGTAAATGCGACCTCACAAGACCAATATATAGCGATTTTCTAGCTTTTGTAGACAAATCTTTAGTACAGTACAGTTACGCCTAAGGAACCCGAGCATCTTATTAGATTTGGCCGATATTGAATCAATATGCATGTTCCAAGAGAGGTCGCTCGTAATACTGACCCCAATATCTTTTTGATTAGATATTATCTCAATTTCTTCACTGGGGCTGATATAATACTTTCGATCAAAGCTCAATCGTTTCCGAGTATTAGCCTAAGCATTTTTGACTGAAAATACAGATCATTTGCAACAGACCATTGACTTAGGGCATTCAAATCCTCCTGCAATGCAATTACATCCAACGAAGACTTAACAGTTCTGTAGCACTTGGAATCATCTGCAAACATAACAACCTTGGAATTTTGCACAATATCAGGCATATCATTGACATATAGAAGGAACTGCACAGGGCCCAATATTGAACCCCGGGGTACACCAGACCTAATGATTCTAATGTGAAAGTGTTTCAAGAAAAATCAGTTGTCCATGATTCATTTCATTTATAATGATTTATTATTCTCTAAAATTATTGGAAACATGTAATCAAATAATCTCTGAATAATATAATAATGTTCAATAAAGGAATACCGAACGGTTTTCCGTGCAGGATTGCGTGATCCATGCACGAGGGATGTCGCGAGACTTTCAGCAAGCATAAAAATACTTGAGCCACAGGCGAGTGTATTTTTACGCTTCCCAAAAGTTGAGCAACATCCCAAGTGCATGGATCACGCTATCCTGCTTGGAGAACCATTTGGTAATTGTTTTATAAAATAACTACAGTGAAACAATGACATTTTGAGAATCCCGCGAAAATCCCGCGAATGTATTTTAATTCCTTGTGCAGGATAGCCTGATCCTGCATGGCTATTGACCGATCAAATTGCGTGTTTCACTGTAGTTATAATGTACTGTGATTTTCTTTTTGTAACCATGATGAATAGCTCTTAGTAATAGCCTCCTGGTATTGACGGTGCAATGGTTTGAGGCACCTCTGATGCTTGACACTTATACATTTTAATTTTACAGAATATTTTCAGTTATTGTCTTCTTATTGTTGTATCTTCATGTAGGAGATGTGCCCTATCCAACAATTTCTGATAAAGATCTCGAAGATTTCTTACTCAATGGAAAAAGAATGGGAAAAGTAGAAAGTTGCACAAATGATATGTAAGAGTAAATTTATTGTTTTTATCCTACTAGTTCTTCGGTTTCATTATCCTTAAATTATGGACTAAAGTATGACATATTAAACAATTTGTTCAACTCCTATAGTACTCTTTGTCTTAACTGTGCAATAATGCATACCTAATTTTAGTGTGCAGTGATAACCAATTTGTGCAGTGATAAAATTAAAAGGTGCAGTGATAAAATTTGCTGTGCTAACTAATTGACAATAAAATGAGGCAATCAGCAGAAAAACCAAAAGTTCGTCTTGACGATTGAGTTGCTTGACAGTATATTTAAATTAATCGAAATATTTTGAATGAGAATAATTTGAATGAAATTGAAATGATAACTGCCAAGTTATCCACACTAAAATTATGCTTAAGGTTCGTCAGATGAACAAAGTTTTTTTGTAATTAGTATATAATCTTCAGAATTATATAGAATGTTTTCCACATTGCCGGAAATACCCTTTTAGGAAGCCTCGCTTACAAAATTTCCTGTGGATGCATGCCCCTGGAATTCCTCTAGAGGTGTGTCACGCCTAAGCCGCCTTTCATTTGCCAAGACGAAAATATTTCTTTTCTGCAAGCATGTGATTATGAAACTATGCTGTCATAGATTGTCGTAACTGCAGGTGCTATCAAGGCTGCGAAGAGGGGTGGAGGGGACAATTTGCCCTGAGTTAATGGGAGGTGGGGATATAATGAATTACAGTGAAATACACATAGATATAATTGTCAACTAGATTTCCAGAATGCAGGATTTAGCCATTTCTGAGACCTGAGATTTCAAAATCTACTCGGGAGAATGCCCCCGGAAACTCCTAATCATAGTGTTAGAAGATAGAATCGCGATGGGCTCCAAGTCAGATTTTGCCCTGGGTGCTAGATGTCCACATTCCCCTGGCGAACCTTGGTGCTGTGCACTGTGCAGGCAGTGCAGTATATGTTGGTGATGGCATTTTTGAACATCAATTGTAGGCTGTTTTGTGGTTACACGTTATGAAGGGTGTGTTCAGAAAATTTCAAGGCGTGCTTTTGCTCGGCTAAACTTTGCACAAGAATGTGCAGTGATAAAAAATTCTTAAATTAGGTATGCAATAATGATCTCAACCAATTAAGTTACACTAAGAATAATCATCTGCATAACATATATAAAACTAATGTTATTATACATTTAGTATGTATTCTCGTTCCTGATTGGTCAGGGAGCACCGGATAATTCTCAATATTCGGTACTTATTACGTAATTTCAGCTGCTGAGGTGCTCAGCGTCCAATAATAGTTTTTCTGGATCGAACTTGCATCCAAAATAAATATTGGTCGCTGTCGCGCCCAAGTCCCGGCGCGGAGGGTCTCTGTAAAGAACGGAAACCGAAACGACCGAATCCGGAAACAACCGAAACCGGAATCGACCGAAACCGGAAATTCCCGCCTAATTTCCCGCATAAAATTGCCTAAAATTTAGCCTGCGAGCAGGATCTCTGTAAAGAACGGAAACCGAAGCGACCGAATCCGGAAACGACCGAAACTGAAAATGACCGAAACTGGAAATTCCCGCCTAATTTCCTGCATAAAATTGCCTAAAATTTAGCCTGCTCACTGGCTCACTGGTAGAAAGGTGAGCCTGCACTGAACCATGCGTTTTATTCATTCATCCCTTATAATAAACAAAGACTGTCAACTATCAAATTGATGCAGGGCGTGAAATGTACAACGACGAAATGTATAAAACAAGTGTGTAAACTCCAAATATCGATAACATTTTTATATTTATCAACGTTCCGGCTATATTTCAATCATCATCAGGATAAAGAAATGTATATAGCAATAATACGAAGCATTAGCAAGTCGCACAATATATTAAATATAAGCTGCAGATAATACATTACGAGTTAATCAATACACATACAAATTAAAAGTCGAATAAAATACTACCATTGAATGCAATGATACTTGTACTACTTGTGATTGAAAGAACAATGTTCTGAATATTTGAAGCTATTAAAATGCAGTCAGATAAATTGGGATTTGGAATACGTCTAAATGAGCATGTATTTAATTTTTTTCAAAATCAAGAGCGTGCCATTTTAGTGGAAGCCGTATCGTATGTCAAATGAGAAAGTGAATGCAATGATGAAGTAAATTAAACAAAACCGGCATGAACCGGCATTGTTCAGAAAGTTAATAATATGCAGTAAGATTATTAAATAATTGACAAAATTGTCAGCAGTTAAATAGTATACAACCTTACTTTCGGATGATATTTATCTAAGGCGGGAATTTCCGGTTTCGGTCGTTTCCGGTTTCGGTCGTTTCCGGATTCGGTCGTTTCGGTTTCCGTTCTTTACAGAGACCCCAGCGCGGAAAACAACTCAAACCCAAAAGCGCGCGAAAATAAAATACATGTAAACAAAATGGCTCACAGTAGATTTGTTTCGTTGGATAAAAACGACCTGTCAAATTATTAGGAAACGAAGACAGTGACAGTACCAATAAAGCCACAAAAGTTTGTTTAGTTAATAGTTGTGTTAGAAAATTTAGTGAAGTTGAAAATACTAAAAGCAGGGACGTGCTGTGGTCTTGAAAAGGACGACGAATGAGCAACGTCTGGTGGGGACCAGATCCAGTAACGGATGGATCAATTAAGATTGGGGTGGGGGTATTACTGTTCAAACATGAAACACGTCTGTTGCTAATTTATCTTTTTTCCCCAAAAATTGTTGGCGAGCGGTTATCTGGACATACCTTTTTTCAGTAACTTTCGAGTTAATGTACCGTAATTTGAAAAATGTTTCGGTAATGTTTTCGTAATTTTCGAATCAATTCGAATCAATTTCGATTCATCTTCAGCAGAATATTTACAAGATACTGCATGCTGAAGATGAATCAAAATTGATTCGAAATATACATGCATGCCCAGTTTCTTAAAAATAGATCATGTATATGCATGCACGCATTTTTCGTAATAACAGTATAGTTTTATATATAGTTTTATATTTATTCAGCCGATAAAGCATGAAGTATACTTTTCCCCTTTTTTGAATGATTTTTTAATTAAATGATTATTTTCTATATTAAATGTTTAAAGGCCCATCTACACGAAACGACTAGTCGTATACGATTCTTATCCTGGCGTATAAAAACGATTGCTGACGCCACTATTCCTGTTTGATTTGATTTGATTTAATGATTTGTCACAGGAAACCATATATACATATCTCCATACATTACATACAAGTGACGAGAAGCCCAAATAGAAACCAAACGGCTTATTAATGCTTTGGGCTCCTCTCAAATATTAAGTTGATTTAAATAATAAGTATTTATACCGGTGAGGGTGGTATACAGGGTGTATAAAAAAAAGCGCAATCCTCGACTGAAATGTAAATTCCTAAACAAATAATAGACGAAAACATTAAAGTTTACATTCATTTTAAAGCGTAGCCATTCAGCTTTCTAACAGTGGGTTGTTTCTTAAATTTGACTCATTGGTTCGCGGGTAATAATACTTTACGTTATTGCGATTGGAGATTAAAAAAATTAAGATGGAATAACAAATCGTTCTCATGAAAATAACTGATTTTTTCATTAAAACAAAAAAATGTTGCATTTTATTAAATGGATTGTAACAATAAGTATAATTACGGCTTTTTTTCCACTATTTTTAACTCAGTTTGAAACTTCAAATGCGATATAATTTTGGCTTGGACCATCTAAGCTGACTGACATCAACTTGCTATAATTTCTGTTTACATTACATCGCAATTCGACGACACTCTGGCTCAGACA